AGTCGGCATGAAAATCGGTAATGTATTCAAATCTGTGGATAATGTGGTGATTGTTGGAGCTGGTAATCATGGTGGTAGGGTTATGCGTTTGCTGGTCTCTATAGACTTAGCCGAAGCTCTACCCCGTTGTGTTAATCTCCGTCTAGAAGATCAGGCTGCCAATGTTGGTTTTAAATATGAAAGGCTAGTGAATCTTTGTCATTACTGTGGACACATTGGTCACCTTGATCGAGAATGCAATGCAAGGATGTCAGATATAAAAGACAAATCTTTAAAGGAAGGACAATATGGCGACTGGATGAAAGCCACGGAAAGTCATAGCTGGGCAGGGCTTAACAACTAAGAATCAAAAAGTCCTTCAAAATATGTTATCCCTCCATTTGATAATCTCTCAGTCCCTGCTCACACATCCAACAGTCAAATAGAAGAAAGCAATCAGGCCAATCATATTCCAGATGAGACTTCTCACAAATCTTCTCAGATTGCTGCCAAGTCTACTCCTGAAATTGTCCCTCTCACAGCTAATGAACCCCAATATGATCAACCATCATCGTCTCTTATGATGATTGAAGTGGCTGGAAACTCAAGCCATAGAGATCTGGATATGGTGATGGGCTCTGAAACTGCTGCTTAAACTCATGCTGAGTGCTCTGGTCTCCTTAAATCTTCCCTGAAATCCTGGAAAAGATCCTCTTCTAAATCAGGCAGGCTCATAAGGCATGAAGAAGAGTTACCTCAAATGGCAATTCAGATCATTGGGAAAAGATTCAGACCAGATATTGAAGAGTCTCAACCTCATGACAATGAAAACTCATCAGCTGTAGAATCCAACAAAAAGATCAAAACCACAACAGGACAGGTGGGGGTTGCCAGCCTCGAATGGCACCCAAGTGGCCAATGCTAGCCATGGTGTGGAATTGTAGAGGGCTGGGTGGGCCCTCTACAATTTCCCAAATCAGAGAGACTCTGAAGTCTCACCATCCTCTTTTTGTTTTCCTTTCTGAAACTAAAAAATCTAGTACTTTTGTTAAATCGGTTAGTAAAAAATTGGGCTTTGAGGATAGATTTGCTATTGTTGATCCTCAAGGCCTAAGTGGTGGTTTGTTTCTTTCTTGGGATTCCTCTGTAAATATCTTTCAGATCATCTGTCAAAGTTTTTTCATTGCTGTGGAATTTCAACTCCCCTCTTCTGTTAGACAGTGGGGTATTTTTGTCTATATTAGCACCTGCAGAACTCTAAGGGTTGAGCAATGGTCTATTCTTGAAGCTCTTAAATCATCTTGGGGGTCACACTGGTTCATTATTGGCGACTGGAATGCCATCTACTCTAGTGATGAGAAAAGTGGAGGACTTGCTAGACTGAACAGTAGTTTTGCAGGGTTTAATCAATTTATTAGCAATATGGAAATAGAGGAGATTGGCATGGTGGGTTACCGGTTTACCTGGTGCAACAACAGGCACTCTGAAGGGATTGTGGAAGAGAAGTTAGATAGAGGATTTGGATCAATTGAATGACTTCAATCTTTCTCAAATGCCAAGGTGCTGAATTTGGTGAAAAGCTCTTTTGATCATTCTCTTCTAATTATTGACTTAGGTTCTGAAAATTCCAGAAAACCTAAGAGATTTTCCTTTGAAAAAAGATGGCTGACCATGGAGGGGATTCAAGATGTGGTTGAGAAAGCTTGGTCTTCTCGTGTTCTGGGGACTCCTTTTTTCAAACTTAAGGAGAAGATTAAGCTTACCAGGCTGGTTTTGTTGAAATGGAGCTCTTCCCACCACACTCTTAATCAGAATAAGATTGCTCTTCTCTCTAAGAAGCTTGAACAGTTAAGAGAGGACACTTCAGATTCAAAATGGGAAGATTGGGACTCCTTGAGATCAGAACTTAACAGTGCTCACAGATTGGAGGAATCCTATTGGCAACAAAGATCCAGGCTCAACTGGCTTAAAGAGGGAGATGGCAACACTAAATTCTTTCATGCCTACACCCAACAAAGAAGAAGAATGAATGCAATCTCCAGATTGGTTTCTTCTAGAGGTGAGGAGTTCTGTTCTCAGCAAGATATAGAAGCTCACATTGAAGATATCTACTCTCAACTTTTCACTTCTGAGGGCTCCCTGAGAGGTGATTCTATTATTCATTTGATCCCTCAAACCATATCAGAGGACATGGACAAATCTCTTTTGCTGCCTGTGGATGAAGAGGAAATCAAAAATACTCTTTTCAGTCTCCACCCTGATAAAGCCCCAGGAGATGATGGTATGAATGCTCTTTTCTACCAAAACTTTTGGAATTGCATAAAATCTGACTTTGTCTCTGCTATTAAGAGTTTCTTTGAATCAAAAGCCATTCTGCAATACTGGAATCATACTCTGTTATCTCTTGTTCCTAAATGTGCTATCCCGGATTCTTTAAACCAGTTTAGACCAATCAGTCTTTGCACTGTTGTCTACAAAGTTCTTTCTAAAATCTTTGCTCAGAGGTTGAAACCTTGTCTGGAGAGCTGTATTACCCACTTTCAGTCGGCTTTTCTGGAAGGGAGACAATTGATGGACAATGTCATCATTGCCCAGGAGGCTTTTCACTTCCTCAACAGGCACTCATCAGGTAAAAATTGGTTCATGGCTCTGAAACTTGATCTTGTCAAAGCTTTTGACAGAGTGGAATGGCTCAGTCTCAAGAAAATTATGATTCAAATGGGTTTCCACTTGGACTTTGTGAAATTGATTTTTGCCTGTATCACTACTTCTTCTATTTCTTTCAAAGTCAATGGAGTTGTATCTGGGTTTATCAAGCCTTCAAGAGGAATTAGACAGGGGGGACCCTTTGTCCCCCTATCTTTTCATAATTCTGGCTGAGTTACTATCTGCCCTTATAGTGGAGGCAGTGAATTCTGGGCAGCTAAGGGGAGTTAAGCTGTCTAAAAATGGACCTCCACTGTCTCACCTCTTATTTGCTGATGACTCTCTGCTTTTCTGTGGAGCTGGGGTGGACCAAACCAATGTTCTCCTTGATCTGCTGAATAAATACAAGCTATTCACTGGCCAAACTGTAAATTTTCAAAAGTCAGCTGTGTTCTTTAGCAGGAATACTCCCCCCCATATTCAATCAAGTGTCTGCTTTGCTCTTCCTGGTATTCATTCTCATAAGTCTACCAGGTATTTGGGATTGCCTTTAGGCATTGGCAAGTCAAAGAAGGAGGTGTTTGCTTATTTGCTGGAATCTATTCAGACTAAACTTCAAGGGTGGAAATCAAAATTGCTCTCCTCTGCTGGCAAAGAGGTAATGTTGAAATCTGTGATCCAAGCATTACCCATCTTCACAATGTCTTGTTTTATACTTCCTCAATCCATTTGTAAAGACATTTCAAGATTGTGTGCTAAATTCTGGTGGAACACCAAAGAAGATAGTACATCTGGTATTCACTAGAGAAGTTGGTCTAAGCTTTCTGTGCCAAAGCTTTATGGAGGTATTGGCTTTCATGACATCAAACTTTTTAATACTGCCTTACTATGCAAGCAATTGTGGAGGATTATATCTCAACCTGATCTCTTGGTTAGCAAAATTCTGAAAGACAGGTATTTCCCTAATTCATCTATCTTTCATACTGTCAAATCACACAAAGACTCTTGGCTTTGGAGATGCTGGTTGGATGTTATCCCTGTTTTCACTAAATGCTTAAGGATTGAGATCAGAGATGGTACTCATACAAGGATTGATGATCCTAACTGGGTTCCATTATTAAACAAGCCTAGGCCAGTGCTGTTTGACATTGCTAAAGATCACCTTCTATTTGTGAAGGACTTGATCCTTCCAAATGGCAGAACCTGGAATAAATGGCTCATTGAGCAAGTCTTCTCTGCTGAGGTCAGTAAAGCCATCCTGGCCATCAATACTCTGAAACTCAATGCTGATGACAAATTTGTGTGGAATGTGGGCAAGAAAGGGGTGTTCTCAGTCTCAAGCACCTACAAGTATCTGGTTTGGCAGAAAGTGCTCTCAATTAACCAGCCTGAAAGTAGCTCATCTGCAATCCCATTGCGGAAAACACTCCACAGGACCTGGTCTCTTAAACTTCTAGGAAAACTTAAACTCTTTCTATGGAAATGCATTCAAGGATCTCTGCCTTCTCTGGTGAACCTCAAGAAAAAAGGATTGGCTCTGGATGTTTACTGCAAATGCTGTGGAGAAGCTCAAGAGACTTCTGAGCATATTCTTCTTACCTGCTCCAGAGCTCAAAGACTTTGGGCATTAGCTCTTGTCTCCTGGGATGGCATTGATCAGCAGGTGATGTCTTTCAAGCACTGGTGGATGCAAGTCTGCTCCATAGCCTTCTCTGATGTTTCAAACCACAGAATGCAACTCACCACTTATCTATTGTGGTGGCTATGGAAGACACGCAACCTTTGGGTGTTTCAACAGTCTCGGATCCCTATTCATGTGGTTTTGAAGTCTGCTCATTCAGATTGGATGGAATTTATTTCTCTTTCTTAGCTTTTTTTCCTTTCTTTTGGCTTTTTTGGTTGTTAGTTTGTTGGTTGCAGAAGTTGATGCTAGGCTTTTAGCAGTGGCTAAATTTCTTTTTCTCTTTTATTTTGTTTGAGGTTCTAGGCCATCTTGTAGATGTGCCTCTCACTTTTCAGTTTCGGTTTTGATTGGGCTTTGCCCCGTTGTAATTGGATCTTGTTCTTTC